CCGATCAACAGGAAATGTGATTGAATTGAAATATGAAATCGGGCTCATAAAAAAAGGCATCTCTCTATGGTGAGTAATTGGTCTAAATTATTTTAAATGCAGCATAAAACATTAATGTATTTGAAATTATGTGAATTTTGAACAAATTCTTGATTTACAATTTTATGTAAATTATTGTTGGTTAATCGGGGTCATAAAAAAAGGCATCTCTCTATGATGAGTAATTGGTCTAAATCATTTTAAATGCAGCATAAACCAATAATGTATTTGAAATTATGTGAATTTTGAACAATTTCTTGATTTACAATTTTATGTAAATTATTGTTGGTCGCCGCCTCTAACATTACATGTGACCCATTGTCATCCACTGTCCGCCACCAACCTCCACTGACAACCCACTACTTGCACTCACCATGCATCGTGCACCCTCATCCATTGTTAACCTCATACTTTGTATTATTTTTATTTCACTTCAAATCAAACAAAATATATTAAATTTTACATTTATTTTACATTAAGACAAACAACTCCTATGTAAGCAATCCAATCACAATACATTTCTTTTACTCCATATTATTTTTTTCAACAACCAAATAGCTCCTAAAGTTCAAAGTGAGGGTGGATCATAGAGGGATGCATGCTATTTAATTGAAGAGTACCCCATGTCATTAAAATTATCACTAATATTATGATTTAGTTTGGATAAAATTTATTTAGTATTATTATTTTCTTTTTGTTAATTTTATTTTTATAAAATAAATATATATGTCTTTAGAAATTGCCAAAACAATTTAAAATTTTTGAGTTATTTTAAAAACAAGTGGGCTACTTTTAAAATAATAAATGTGTTTTTTTTTAAAAATTAACTGAAAAGAAAAATAATCTCAAATGGTATATAGCAATATATACATTTAACAATGAGCTAGTAATGCGAATGAAAAAAATTATGATCGTTATAATACGCACATTAGAGTGCCAAACCTTGAATGATGTGGACATAACATGTGAACATATCATACTCCTAAAAGACCCTACTAGCATGAAATGGCTTCAATTGATGTCTAAGACTGTAACTGAGCAAATCTGGCTCGAAGCCTTCTCAAGGGGGTCTCGATAAAGGACTTACAAGGTAAGCTCCATAAGTAGAAAAGCCAAGCTCAAGCTAACTCGACTAACTTGCAAGCTTGTCAGCTTTTTTAAGAAAATTTAAATATAAAAGTATATTAAAATTAATGACTTTATCCATTATATATTAAAATATTTAAATTAAATTTTTTTTTTATTTATATCAAGTGATTTCTTATATTTATCTCAATATTAAAATATTTAAATTAAAAAAAAATTTTATTTATATCAAGTGATTTCTTATATTTATCTCCTAAATATAGTATATTAGTCATTTTATTATAACACCAAATTGAATTAATATTATTTTCTCTTTTACAAAACACACAAGCTCACGGCCGACTAGAAATTACAAAATAAGCTAAAAAACAAGCTCAAATACAATTAATTAATCAAACTCAAGCTCAATCAAGCTCAAACAAGGGTGTGGCTAGAGCTGTGACTCACCTCATTTAAAGCCCTGGTATACTCCATATAGAGCTAAGCGATATTCATATGCTGTCAACTTTCTAAAGTTTTTTCCATTATGACCACACTTCACTGTATGGTTGACATAATAACAAGAAGCAAAGCTTTCAAGTTCGAAAGCTTTTGCCTAATCATACCATGTGATATAATCTCTTCATTAATTTCCACTGCAATATTAAATTAATACATCATATTTCGTGTTTGGATGATCTCTGCAAAAAGAAATTTAAACGAAATGATGAAATAATAGCTCGAACAATGATCCACCAAGTCCAGACACAATAAATCAATTTTGATAGCAAAACTAATATCTTCGTTTATAAAATATTACACTCTTACAACAAGACAGCAGGATGAAAATTTTGAAAGAAAACCAAATAAAATAATAAGAGGATTTACATTCATATGACTGTATTTCATTTCGTCTAAGTTAACAATAATGATTAAGATATCATAAAAGTAGAAACCAAAAAAAAAAAAAAGAAGCTATGAGGTTAGATAATGTAAAAATATTCAAAAGAGTTGAGTGATATTTATAATGTAAATAGCTGAAAATAATAAGGCTTGGGAAATATAGTGTTGTACTGGAAACTAATTAGTTGCAGCTTAACGACAAAGGGAAATGCGTAATTGCTTGAATTCAATGACGCAGGAATGTGGGAGGGGACCAATAGACGTAGTAGTAGTGGATCAAAGCGAAGATATGACACTGAAGGAGAGAGAGGTGGGGGTGCGGTCGACGTTTACAGAGATGGAATGCTCGAAATGGAAGTGGGGACTGGGAATTCGAGGCTTTTTGCCAGACCTCTGACACCACCGCGAAAGTGACGGACCAGCAACACACAGACAGAGAAAGAGAGAGAGAGAGAGAGAGACAGAGCATCTGAAGTGAGATATAGAGATAGAGGGAGAGGAGGGGCTCGAGAGGGAGTGGTGGTTGAGAGAAGAAGATTACCTGCTTTTTGGCTGGGCAGATATGCTATGATTATGTATGGCATACTCATAAAAACCAGAGATAGGGTTAAGCAGGAAATATAGAAAAAAAGAAAGAGAAGAGGGCTATATAGACCTTGTGTCTGTGGTCTATATGGCAGTTACGAACGTCCCCGGCCCCCCTCCTGTACCAGCTTTTGCGAAGGATATTTGTGGCTTCACTGCCACCATGAATTATAGCAGCAGCAGAGCTTCAGTGTTCATCTTCGGAAACTCTTTCCTTCTATCCTCGAAAATAATAATCAAAAAAGGTCAGTAACAGGGCGTTAGAAATAGAAGATGATGAAGACAGCTCGATTGAGAGCAACCACTATCATGCTCAATAATCTTTACTACAAAACTCATTCCCAGCTTAAAATGGGTACCCACCTTTCCTGAAAGCTGGCTCAATTTTTTGAGCTTAAACCAAATTTTTATTTATTTATTTTATTGCTTTTTTTTTTAAAAAAAAAAACTTCAATATTTACTATGTAGAGGAGGGAGTTGAAAACCATCCAACAAAGAATTCTTTTATAAAAAGGACACCCAATAGTCTAACTTAACTCTCTTACGGACATCACTTGAATTGCCCTCTTTGTTCTCCATCACAACAAAAAGAGTGTTGAGGGCTTATAGCTGTTCTTCTCCTTCTCCCTCCAAACTTGGTTGTGCAAAAGCAACATTTTTAGGTAAAATAAATGATGCGCAGAGCATCCATTTTCCAGGTGCAACGAGCCTGACTCTGTCTATTTTGATGTCAACCACAGTCTCGCACAGCACCATGTTAATCCTCTGTTCATCAAAATCAGATTGATGAAAGCTGAGGTAGCAGGATATATGAAAATTAAATCAGGACGAACAAAACAATTAAATTACATTAAAAACTTAACCTCATGGAAATCAAATTCAGGATTCAAAGCCTTCGAAAATCCATAAACATGAATTCGTGGCAAACAGCAGCTATCTGCCTTAGCTCTTCTTCTGAAGATACCACGAAATGCATCTACAAAAAAGATGAATTTCCAAAATAGACGCTGAAAGAAACATATAAATCATAAGAGTTAACTCTTTAATAGGGAGATTATTAAATGCCTGCAATCTGAGCAGAGATGAAAATAACTATCGATATGCTTACTAACATAATTAAGCCCAACGTTGCCATGGGTTAATGACTAGATAAATATATTCAACAGACAACAGCAATAGCAAGCCTATACCACTAAGTGGGGTTGGTATCGTATAACTAGATAATACATTCATCTAAATAAAATAAGCTCAAAGTAAATAATACAACACATTCGGTCTCCATAAAGAACTAACGCATAGATATCATTATGTATAATAATCAGATAAGTAGAACACAGACGAAGAGCTAATCAGGATAAACAGGCAATTAGATGGCTGGTCATTCAATGGAACACACTAAGAACTAATCAGGATAAATGGGCAATAAGATGGCTGTATACTCCAATTCAGATAAATAACAAAGATTGGTTCATAGATAATTTGAATGTTAAAAAGAAATTACATGTGAACCATATTGAGTGTCTAAATAAGCGGAGTTTGAATCTCGAGACAGAAATAAAATGCCGGGCTTGCGAAATGGGAAGAATAATGTAAGAAAATTTTAGGAAAATAAACAAATAGAAAGCCATAGCATAAATGAGGAAAACAAACCAAGGAACTCTACAGCATTGTTTGGCAGATTCATGACCACTTGTGTAACGTGATAAGATCGCTGACTGGCAAATAACGTCTCTATGAATCTCCTGCCGTCCATGTTAAAAACCTGGAGAAAAACAGATATTAAAAAGAACACTACCATGAGAGTTTGAAACGGGATGGACTGAACACGGATACTTGGAACAATATAGAACCATTTATATGCCTTAGCATGCACTGGGGGATAGAATAGAACAGCATTGGAGTCACCAGATCACCATGCAAAAGATTTAATCCACATTTTTTAAGAGGTAAACAATGATCAGCAAACGTTTTAAATCCATAATGTGATAAAGCATGAGTATAACTGCACGTAAGATCTGACTAATACGGCATATGCAAAATTCACCATTCAAAGCTATGATCCTATGGAGTCTAGTCTTGTTGAAAATATTGTGATGAGCATCGTAAGCCTAGAATTTTCTAATAAAGATTCACGAAGAATGCACAAAATTATGCACAAAAGTCAAATTATTAGTTCATGGACCATTAATTTAAACAAATATTCATCTCTTTTTTTTATGAAAATTAGAAAGAACATAAAATTTGCACAAATGACGACTTTTTAATCATCAAATAGAAGTTTCACATAAATTTAGGACAATAAATCACAAATCAAAAGGAAATCAAGCATCAATCACAAATAAAGATTGTGAAAGTTAAAACCAAATCCAATCACACAAACAAACAAATAATTAAATTGTAAAAATACAATACTAAGGAAAGAAATCACGAAAACCATCCATAATGCTAGAAAGATTCACATCCAACAAATATTAGAATATCGAAAAGACAAAAAAATTAAAAGAGAAAAAAAAAACGCAAAAGAGAAATGTCATCATTAAACTGAATTTTTCCATGCCTCGGGCCTCTATTATTAATCATAACATTGGATCCAAATTTGGCGGTACATAACACTAAAATCTAACTAACAAGCACAACAGGAAAGAGAAGAAAAGAATAGAGAAAGAATTTAGAGTGAGAATTTTTTGGAATTCATTAAAATGAGTTTTTAGTCCAAAAAAATTACATTACCTGAGCTTAAGTCCTAACCACCCTCCACCCCACTTATAAGTTTGGAGTTTGACGCTACATGAAAGACTAAATATTCAGATATATTAATATGAAAAAAGCAATTGAAAATGTTGTTTGCTGTAAAATACAACAGACACAGTCCTGTTAAATTTACATTAGGTAATAATTAAACGAGAGCGTTTAACAATTGAGATCACCAACTGATTGGAGAATTCATTAGCGTGGTCAAAGGAAGCTGCCAACTTCATATAATTGGTAGGGCTGTCAAAAAAACTCGTGTTCAGCTCGTTCGTTCAGTAAAAGAGCCGAACACGAACAACTCTTTGTTCGCTCATGTTCGGCTCGTTTTAGCTCGAAATAAATATATATATATATAATAATATATTACATACATTATATATATTTATATCTAAGTTTAAAACGTAATTGCTCGTTTGGTAATGTGGTTATGCGTCTTCTTTTGCATTCATTTGATCCAGGTTCGAATCCAACACTTTACAATTATTTTTTCAGTTTAAATTTAACGAGCCAATTTAGAGCCGAACACGAACACACTGTTCACGAGCCAATTTCGAACACGAACAATTTCAAACGAGCCGAACACGAGCCAAGCTTGAGCTCGCTCAAGCTCGCCTTGTTTACAGCCCTAATAAATGGCAACTTACTGGGACAAATACTGACATTAACACTAAAGCCCTGAGCGGGTAGGCCAAAATGAACCATGAGGCGAATTTATCAAGATTTTGGCGAGTACATTATAAGCTTTGACAAGTTCATCCAGATCTTACCAAAAATCTTTTAGCCCAAACCAACTCTTCAAGATTGAGCATGCACACACAAATCTCTCAAATTTATAATCAAAATCACAAGCATCTGAACAAAAGCTTCATAACTGCAAGGAACAAAATTTATATTATGCAATATGGCAAGGATAGGTTGGATAAGGTTAAATATAACAGGCAAGTTGTAGAGTACTGAAGTCAAAGGGCAAAATCCCAAAACATTCACTAAAACCTAAATCAGAAACTAAAAAAGTAATAGAAGATTCAGCTCAAAGCCCAATTCACACCAAAAAGGCAACTGACACAGCCCAGCGCAAGAATTAAACCAACAAAATAGAGTACACAACGTATTCTCTTAGATATCACTTAGATAAGGAGACTAAACTGGGAATGGCATGACTAGATATAGAGGCTAAACAGAAATTCCCAGTGCTGAGTAAACTACAAAAAATCAGCCGTAGTAATGCATTTCCGATGAGTGATAATGCGTATCAACAAATATTTTATCAAGCATAAATCTCGATGTAATTTTTATAAGGAATCTTCCAAATATAAATTCAAGTTCATCCGGGCCCCAATTTCAGCAAAGTTTATATTCAAACTAACGGGCTCAACAAGAAGAACCAAAGGATAAAAAAATTTGGTTCAATCTGAGACAAATCAAGCCCATAGACCTTAGATCGTCAATTAAATGATCAAATAAACTCCAAATTTGACATATTTATATTCAAGTCGAGTATTGCAACAAGATGAATCCAATGAGCCTAAGATTGTTAAATTTTGATGTCATTAAGGCATTTGAATTATTAAAAAAAGTATATGATCAAGAGGATCAACATCAACCCTCCGATATGGTGGTTAGAGAAGTTATGCGTTAAACGACCAAAATGCCCATCCGTGAACTCTGTCGTCGGCAACCCATGTTTGCAACTGTTGTATTTCAAATACGATTGTTGCATCTAACACCTGTATAAAAGAGCTAGTGATAACTACCATCACCGATCATTGCCCTTCGTCCACTATCAATCACCATCGACTATCACTATCTGTTATCACCAACCAGCGGCCACCGACGCCCCTTACTTGCAATTGTTGTATTCCAAATACAATCGTCGCCTCTAACAGAAGCATTTAAACCAACAAATAATCACTAGCCTTCATAGCCACCGACCCGTGTCGACAACCGTCTATCGGCCACAAGAGATCGTCGCAGATAGTCATTGCCTGTCGTTGCCAACCACCGACCTTCGACAACCCCTGTTTGCGAATGTTGTAATCTAAATAAGACTTTTGCGGTCAACTACTGTCTTTGTAGCCACCAACTATAATATTTGTGACCAACTACTGCTATTACAGTTTCCAACTACAGTCTCGGTGACCAACTACTACTACTGCAACCACCGATTAAAGTCTTTATGGTCAATTACTGCTTCTGTAGCAACCAACTACGGTCTTTGTGGACAATTATTACTGTTACAATTTTCAACTACGGCCTCAGTGGCTAATTGTTGCTATCGCAACCATCGATTATAGCATTTAAGACCAATTAGTGACTTTGTAGTCACCAACTACGACCTTTGTGGTCAACTACTATTGTTACAATTTCCGTCTATGGCTTCTGTAGTCAACTGCCGCTATTGCAGCCAACGACTATAGCCTTTAAAGCCAACTACGGTCTTTGTGACCACTACTACTATTACAGTTTTCAATTAAGAACTCTATGACCTACTGATGTTATTGTTGTCACCGACTATAGCCTTTATAGCCAACTACTGTTTTTGTAGTAGCTAACTATTGTTGTTACAGTCAAGAACCATATTTGTTGTCGCCAAATTATGATTATTATAGCTAAATTACGATTGTACATCTGTGATTATTAGCTTTGTTATTATATTTTCTCCAATTCAATTGAAACTACATACTTACAATTATATAATAAGTTACTTTGATTGGTTTAAGCCCCATAGTTTTCCCCTTCTAGGGTTTCCATCTATAAATTTTAGTCTCTTCTGTGTGTTTATTAGATCTTCATGCAATGCTAACATATTAAATAATCACTCCATCATCATGAATTTTCTGGCATACAACAGTTTGGAGATGTCCACGGGAAACAAAGGCCCGTGAATTAAATCTACCATAGCTGTCAATTTGGGTCAACGGGTCGGGTTCGGGTCCAGCCCAAATAATAAGCATGCGAAAACTAAGACCCAAAACCGAACCAAACCTAAGTTTGACCTGCTAACCTGAACTCGACCAGAAATGTCATGCTTATTCGGGTCATGTTTAGGTTTTTCGGGTTTTATGCAAACCCGAGCCGAATAATAAATGAGTCAAATTCTTTGACCCGAACTAGACTCGAAAAATATTCGGTTCAACACTAATCATGATTTTTCTAGTCGAGTTTAAGTCATGTTGGCGTGTTGGGGTAAATTTTTTACACCCCTAAAATCGACACTTCTTAAACAATTAACGAACGTAATATAGGAGCTTCTCGTTCTAATACCCGTCATTCCAAGGCACAATCTTGACGTCCGGGACACCAAGACTGCTTTATTTCACCCAACCGGCAAAGGAACTTCCATTGCACCTCTTGAAGACTATGTATGAAAATAAGAGAAGTCTCAAAATGAGATCCTCCGACATAAGGCTCGACAACCAATGGTGGTGCATAACGAATGGCACATTTACCTCAACATTGACAAACTAAAGGTACATGGCTAGTTCCCCACGAAACACTGACGTTCCTTCCCATAAAGTTGACCTTCTGAACACTGCTAGCTCTACACATCCATCCCATGTAGTCAAGTGACAACAAACCTCCAAAACGTGTGGAGAACTTAGCTCAACATCATTTAATTCGTGAAAAATTATGACGTCTAGTGCAAGTAGAGTTCCCTCTAATGGATATAAGTCATTTCTTTGCTAAGTTGGTCTCAACCTTCAAAACAATTTCACCTTCTTGATGACTTCTAAGTAAAACACTCGTAACAATGAAGTCGCCCACTCTTCACCCACCATTCCAGGTGATGATCTTAAAGCCAGAACATCAGGCCTCCATTTCTATTTCATTGGATGAAAATTACTCTAGTGATAAAAAAGTCTCTTTAGCCATGGAAGACCAGATACTTATAATAAAGAAATCTAAAAATGAGATTTTTTAGCACTTATACGAGGTTCAACAAGTAGCATGAATGCCAACAGCTAGAGCTTAAGTACCACAAGGACAACCACTAACAAAAGATGTTCAGCT